AAAGAGAGCTGGTTTGATGAAGTCTGTAGAGATCAGCACCTAAGGGCCCAGGGAAGAAGGAGAAGCTGGGGGGTGGGGCTGGGGGAGCAGCAGGGACCTGCTCACACAGCATATTGTAAGGAGAGAAGCTGCTCAAACCCAGCTCGTGACAGCGACCCAAGAGGGTGGGTAGAATGGTGAAGACGCCCATCCCATAGCAACTCGCCAAGCGTCCTGGCAGCCCACTTAGCTGCTCTGACCTCAGTTCCCTAATCAATAGAAGGGGGAGTTATTAGACAAGATTTATTTCTAAGATCCCTTCTAACGTTAAAATTCTTTGACTTGTAAATGACAACAAAAGAAATATGTGCTCTACTGTTTAAAAAAAATCTTACTGCACAGCAGCCCAGGACCCTCGTGCAGAGAATCCAACCAGCCTGGCCCCAAGACAGATGCATGACCAGGACTCCAGGGTGCTGACCAGAAGTGGAATCCTACCCAGGACCCTCTGTTTAAGAATGAAAGAAAGTATGGGAATGTCAAATGGTGGAACCACTATGGAAAACAGTATGGTGGTTCCTCAAAAAATTAAACACAGAATTACCACACGATCCAGTAATGCCGCTTATGGGCATACACCCAAAAGAATTGAAAGCAGGGACTCAGTTATTTGTATGCCCATGTTCATAACAGCATTATTTACAATCGCCAAAAGGTGGAAACAACCCAAGTGTCCATCAACAGATGAATGAATAAACAAAATGTGGTCCTTACATACGATGGAATATTACTTGGCTTCTAAAAGGAAGGGAACTTTGACTCATACTACGACATGGATGAACCTTGAGGATATTATGCTTGGTGAAATAAGCAGCCACTAAAGACAAACATCGTATGATTCCACTTATGTGAGGTCCCTAGAGTAGTCACATTCATAGAGACAGAAAGTAGAATGGTGGTTGCCAAGGGCCAGGGCGAGAGCGGGTGAGGAGTTAGTGTTTAATGGGGACAGAGTTTCAGTTTAAGAAGATGAAACAGTCCTGGAGATGGATGGTGGTGATGGTTGCACAGCAATGTGAAGGGACTGAATCATACATTTAAAAATGGTTAAAATGGTAAATTTGATGTTATGTGTATTTTACCACATTTTGTAAAGGATGAAAAAAAATGTATCTTCTAGTTTAGAACAGTTTCTATCTAAAGCATTAAACTGGAGGACCTTAACCTTAAGTTAGGGTTAAACTTAAGTTAATTAAACTTAACCTTAAGTTAATTAAACTTAAAATCTTTTTGCACAGCAAAGGAAACGCCAACAAAATGAAAAGACAACCTACCGAATGGGAGAAAATATTTGCAAATAATATGAAGATAAGGGGTGAATATCCAACATATATAAACAACTCATATAACTCAACATCAAAAAAACCCAAACAACCCAATTAAAAAATGGGCAGAAGATCTGAATAGATATTTTTCAAAAGAGGAAATGCAGACGGCCAACAGGCACATGAACAGATGCTCGACATCACTAATCAACAGGGCAATGCAAATCAAACCCACAATGAGATATCACCTCACCCCTGTCAGAACGGCTATCATCAAAAAGAACACAAATACCAAATGCTGGAGAGGGTGTGGAGAAAAGGGAACCCTCGTACACTGTCGCTGGGAATGTAAATTGGTGCAGCCACTGTGGAAAACAGTATGGATGGAGGTTTCTAAAACACTAAAAATAGAACTCCCATATGACCCAGCAAGTCCACTCCTGGATATATATCTGAAAGTAACGAAAACACTAATTTGAAGAGATACATGCACCCCAGTGTTCATAGCCTTATTTACAATTGCCAAGATATTGAAGCAACCTACGTGTCCATCAACAGATGAGTGGATAAAGAGGATGTAGTACATATATGCAATGGAATACTACTCAGCCATGAAAAAGAATGAAATTCTGCCATTTGCAACAATGTGGATGGACCTAGAGGGTATTATGCTTAGTGAAATAAGTCAGACAGAGAAAGACAAATACTGTATTATATCACTTATATATGGAATCTAAAAAATACAACAAACTAGTGAATATAACAAAAAAGAAGCAGACTCACAGATACAGAGAAGAAACTAGTGGTTACCAGCGTGGGGTGGGGGACAATATAGGGATCGGGGGGTGGGAGGTACAAACTATTGGGTGTAAGAGAGGCTCAAGGACGTATTGTACAACACAGGGAACATAGCCAATATTCTGTAATAACTGTAAATGGAAATAAACTTTAAAAATTGTATAAAAAAGAAAAAATCTTTTTGAATAAAAACAAAAAGTTAAACTGGAAAAAGGATTTTAGCCCACCAAGGAGTAGTCTTCAGTTATCTGGAAAATTCATTTGTAGCAAAAGCAGCGTTTTCTCATGATGTTGGATAACAGTGGTTTTATTGCAACTAGATCACCTTCATTAAAAATGTTTTGAAACATTAATTATAAAAATCAAGTGGTATGGAGGGCCCTGTAGTGTCTTCATCACAGGACCCTCACATGTTAGTATGATCAATGCCTAGATTTTGTGACACTAAGAAGAACAAATAGCCCATAGGTATTTCCTTTCAGATCTTTGTTTTTGGAGTCTAGTTGATTTACAGTGTTGTGTTAGTTTCTGCTGTGCAGCAAAGTGATTCAGTTATATATGTACATGCCTCCACTCTTTTTTAGATTCTTTTCCCATATAGGGCATTACAGAGTATTGAGTAGAGCTCCCTGTGCTGTACAGCAGGTCCTTATTAGTTATCTGTTTTATATATAGTAGTGTGTATATGTCAATCCCAGTCTCCCAGTTTATCCCTCCACCCTTCCTCCTTGGTAACCGTACGTTTGTTTTCTACATCCGTGACTCTGTGTGTTTCTGTTTTGTAACTAGTTTCGTTTGTACCATTGTTTTAGATTCCACATATAAGCACTGTCATATGGTATTTGTCTTTCTCTGTCTGACTCACTTCACTGAGTATGACAATATCTAGGTCCATCCATGTCGCTGCAAATGGCATTATTTCATTCTTTCTTATGGCTAATAGTCCATTGTATATATGTACCACATCTTCTTTATCCATTCCTTCATCTCCTTTCAGATCTTTACATGTAACTTGTCTTCCGGATACATTATTCTTCTCTTCCCAGATCTTTCCAGAAAAGTAGGGAGTTCAGATTGACTTTCATTAATTTTCATGCCCACCTCAGTGGAGAGAGAGTGATCTTTTTTTTAAAAATTTTTTTGGCCGTGCCACGCAACATGCGGGATCTAAGTTCCTCCACCAGGGATCAAACCCATGCCCCCTGCAGTGGAAGCACGGAGTCTTAACCACTGGACCGCCTGGGTAATGTGTCTGTTCATTTCGAAGAGTGAAGAGTCAGCCCTTCCCCCTCTTCCGGAGCACCGTCATGTCCTTCTCTGGGAGGTGGGGAAGTCTTAGCACGGGCTGAAAACAATTTCACAGAATCCCTACAGGCCCGCTGTGCAGGGCAGAGCAGGGCACACACAGGTGAGGAAGAACTGGCTCCTGCCTCTGAGAAATTTCTAATCTGGTGATGGATAAGGCTCGCATGCAATAACAATTAAACAGGGGAGACCCTTTCGCTCATACCCCGTCAGGGGAATTTAAGGAAAAAAAGAGACGTATCCAGCTAAAGGGCTCGGGACAGGGCTCACAACTTCATAAGAGAACATATATGAATGAACACGTGAGAAGTAGCTCAATATCACTAACCATCAGGGAAATGCAAATGCAGATCACAGTGAGACACGTCCACACACACACGACAACGGCTACAAGTTTTATTTAATTGTAAAACCCAATACCAAGAGTTGGAAAGAACGTAGCAGAACTGAATCACTCACACATTGCAGATTCACATGGCAGTTTCACAAGCGAAAACATCTGTCAAAACTCATCAAAGCTTATGGAAATGGGTTCAGCTTATTGTACATAAATTATACTGCAATAAGGTAATTATTTTAAAAATTTATAAAGCCACAGTGCAAAAGGAGAAGAAAAGCAAACGTCAATACAGTTGTTTAACAGCTATTCAGATATAAATGATATACCCCAAACTGCACATATTAACTGCACATATATTTAATGTATATAATTTGATGAGTTTGGAGAGAGAGAAGGGAGGGAGGAAAGGAGGGAAAGGAAGGAAGGAAGGAAGGGAGGAAGGAAGGGAGGAAGGAAGGGAGGGAGGGAGGGAGGGAGGGAGGGAGGACAGACTCCCTTCCTGGATTGCAGACAGCTGCCATGAAAGGACACAGCAAGAAGGCAGCCGTCTGTAAGCCAGGAAGAGAACCCAACCTTGCTCGTACCCTGATCTCACGCTTGCAGCTTCCAGAACTGTGAGAAATAAACGTGTTATTTAAGCCCCCCAGGCTGTGGTATTTGGTTATGGCGGCCTGAGGAGACAAATCCAGGCTGTTGACCTTTACCCCCTCTACCCACCCCCAAGCTGCTCTCCTGCTCAGCCACTGTCCTTCAGCTCCCACCCAGACCACCCACTGAGGGTGCAGGGGCTAAGGGCGCCGGTTCCAAAGCCAGTGGGTGTATTGATGCCCCTTGACTTTCGCCTCACTGTGCACATTGTGTGACTCTGACTTCCCTCCAGGCCTGACTTCTCTGGCCATGGGACAGGTCCCCATGACAGCCCAGTGAGCGCCTCCCACACCCCAGACTCCCTAACTCAACCCTCCCCAGTCTCCCAGGTCCTTGCAGTCGCTCAGGCTGCAAAGCATGGCGTCCTCACAACGCCTCTCTCATTCGCACATCCAATCTATCAGACTTCTGCCTGAGGGACCTCAAGGTGTGGCCTCCGCTCTTACCTTCCCCAGCTTCCCCACCAGGGAGCGCGCCCACCTCACTCTCCATCCTGCAGGGCCCGCCGGGAGGAAGGCTCCGTCAGGGGACAGGTGGTCAAGCCTAGTGGTCCTGGGCCAGCCCCCTGCTGCCCCACCCCACGCCCCCACACCACACATCCCCGCTGCCTGGGGAGAAACCCCCCACCCTTCCTTCTCTTGCTAATTCCTGGTTGGCCTTCAAGACTCAGGTCTGGTGTCACTTTCTTCCAGAAGCTTTCCTTAATTAAACGAGGTATTTAATCAAACATTTGTTGAGCACCTAGCGCGTACAGTACTGGGGGACATTTCAAAGGCCTCAGAGCTGGACCTGCCCAGTCCCAAGGATTCAGGTTCGTCCCACGGATTCAGGAGCTCGGGATGTGGATCCCTGGGCAGCAGGTGTCTCGTGAGAGACCCCCTTTGTGTACCCCTGCCACCTGTGCTTTGAGCAAAGCTCGTCTAGAGGTAAGAGCGGCTAAGTCTGAGCACTGTGCCATGGGGTTGTACTCATACTGTCTCCTCTAATGATCAGGTACCATTATTATTCCCATTTTATACGATGAAAAAGCTGGGGCTCAAGAGGGTTCCTTGCTCCAAGTCAGCCAGCTGGTAAGGGACAGAGCCTCTTACAGCTAAAAAGGATTTCAGGGACCACGTAACCCAGGGGTTCTCCACCCACTGCATCAGAACCACCCGGGAGCTTCAAAACACATTTCTCCTAGAGATTCTGATTCAACCAGCGTGGATGTCCTCTCTACCCAGGGCACCCTCAGGCATGGCCAGAATCGAGAACCACTGACTAATCCAACTCTTTGACTCTACAGGTAGGGAAACTAAGGTTTGGAGAGCCCAGATGATGTTTCCAGGTCACACACAAATTTGACAGACCTAGGATTAAAATGGAGGTTTTTCTGACACCGCATCCGATGTTCTTTCCAACGTGCCGGTGTTTTCCCAACAACTTTACCCCTTTGAGGGAGGATAATGTGGGCTTCTCCAACTAAAGACATTAGACGCTCAAAAACGTGGCCAACTTTCTAGTCAATGTGACCCCAGGCAGGGGACACTGCAGAGCAATCCCCCCACCCTGGCACAAGGAATCTCTACCCCCCAGGAGAAGGAGACAAAAGAGGTCTTTCTCCCCAAGGAAAAAACCCAAACTACTCTCCGGCGCCATCTAGTGACACGGAGAGGTGTGTGTCAGAGCTTTCGGAAGCCGGGAAGGACAAACTGGCTCGGTTCAACACAACTGGAGCTTTGGACATAGAAGTCCTCAGGTGAGAGTCTCCGCAGTGGAGGTGGCCACAGAATTGTCACCAGGGAGGTGAGAGCTGAGGAAAGGTAGGAATTTACATTAAAACAAAGCACTTTACTGAGAAGGGATAAAGACAATTAGGTATGGCAGTTCTTCAAAAAATTAAACATAGAATTACCATATGACCCAGCAATCCCATTCCTGGGTATGCACACAAAAGACCTGAAAGTAGGGCATCATGCAGGTATTGGAACCCCATGTTCACAGCAGCTCTAGTCACAATAGCCCAAAGGTGGAAACAACCCGGGTGTCCATCGACACATGAGTGGGTAAACAAAATGTGGTCTGTACATAAGACGGAATATTATTCAGCCTTAAAAAGGAAGGAGATTCTGCAGTAGGCTACATCATGGCTGAACCTCAAAGACAGTATGCTCAGTGAAATAATCCAGAGATGAAAGGACAAATACTGTGTGATCCCACTGTACGAGGCACCTAGGGCAGTCATATTCATGGGGACGGAACGTAAACAATAGAATGGTAGTTACCAGGGGCTGAGGGAGCGGGAAATTACGGGGAGTTATTGTTTAGTGAACATCGAGTTTCAGTTTGGGAAGGTGAAAAAGTTCTGCAGATGGATGGTGGTCATGGCTGCACAACGAGAACGGACTTAACACCCCTGAGCTGTGCACTCAGAAAAAGGTTAAAATGGGGAATTTTATGTTACGTATGTTTTAGCACAATAGAGGAGAGAGAGAGAGAGAAAGAGAGAGAGTTAGGTGTCAGGCTCCAAGTGCTGGGTGAGACTGAATTGAGCAGCGCGGCCCAGAACAGGGAAGGCATTCGCTCCTCACTCACTCATTCATTCAACCACCAGCAAATACTGACACCGCCACATGCCAAGAATCATTCCAGGCACTGCAAACCCGGTATCAAAACCAAGGGGATGAAACTCCCCACCATGCTGGAGCCTACAGTCTAATGACAACAACCAGATAAGCAAGTAAATACCTCAAGACAGATGGTGATTCTGCTGGAGAAAAGAGCAGGGCCGACGCAGGGGCCAGGCCAGGGCTGGTGGTTGAAGGAGAAGGAAGGGAAGGGTTTTCTGACATGAGGACATTTGACAAAGGATCTTGAAGACAGTGGGCTGCATCTAGGCAAACGGACTCAAGCGCACGGGCCCTGGAGGGGACCCTGCTCTGGGTGCTGGGGTGGGGATGGGGGAGGAGTGGCCAGAGGGGCAGAGAGGTGGCCGGGGCCAGATCCTGCAGGGCCTTGGGCCCTCGTGAGGCCTGTGGTTTTCCCCACAAATGAGCATGGGAGCCACGGGGCGCGGGAGTTTGGGCAGAGCAGGGTGTGAACAGGATCATGCGGGCTCCCGTGGGAGAAGAGACTAGCGGGTGACACAGGTGGAGAGGAAGGCCGGGGTGAGGCCGCTGCAGAAATCCAGGCCAGAGGCAATGGAAGCTTGACCAGGGAGGCCTGGTAGAGAGAGCCGACGAAGGGTGGTCCGAGTGTGGGTCAGGAGCCATGGGATTTCCCGGTGGCGTGGACACGGGTAAGAGGAGGAGAGGAGTGAAGGGTGACTCCAAAGTGTTTGGCTTCTGTCCCGAGTGCCTGGAGGGGGAGGGGCTGTCCACTTAGTGAGACAGGAAAGAGGTGCGGGTTTGGGGAGAGAAGCAACCGAATGACGCTCTGGGACATACTCGGCCTGAGATGGCTGTGCGATGTCCTCGGGGAGAGGCGGAGGAGACACGAGTGGGGTGTCTGGGGACCAGAAGCCATGATGTGACACAGGGAGTGCATGCAGATGCACGGGAAGGAGCCCCCTGCGTGCAGAGGTGGGAGAGATGGGGGGGCTGCACAGAGGGGCCTGAGAAGGAGAACGGCGTGTCCTAGACAGCGAGAAGAAAGCCTTTGCAGGAGGAGAGAGTGCTCGCTTTGAGCGCGGTCAGCCGAGTCAAATGCTGCTGACGGGTCAAGGTGATTAGGACTGAGAACTGACCATTGACCATCCAGCAACGTGCAGGCCACTGACCTTGACAAGTTAGACCTTGGCAAATGAGAACTGGAGTAGGAAGTTCTAGTTTTGTCATTCCCGTGTCCTTGAGGACCCGGATTCTTGTGGGGAAGAAGAGATGCACGTGCAACCTAGAAGAGGTTAAGGAGAACCGCTGCAGAGCCAGGACCTCCCACGTGAGCCGTATCACCAGGTGGCCAACTAGGAGGTGAGGAAGCATCTCTTCATAGAAATATTCCAACCAATAAGAGAAAGCAGGGAGAGGATATCACCGTTTTGCAGCACCCCATGTACTGGTGGACCTCAGCATGAACAACTGCCGACATCACCAAGAGGGAGGCAACCAGACATTATGATCCCCTCTGATTAAAAGAAAAAAAAAAAAAAAAAAGGCACCAGCATTAAGAGTCCTGCCAGGGACTTCCCTGGCGGTCCAGGGGTTAAGACTTTGTGCTTGCATTGCAGGGGGGTATGGGTTCGATCCCTGGTCGGGGAACTAAGCTCCCACAGGCCACGTGGCACAGCCAAAAAAACTAAAAAAAAAAAAAAGAGTCCTGCCAAAGGAAGGCAACACAGGCTTCCAGTGCCAGCGTGCAGGAAACACAGCAGACAGAGGAGCAAGCTAAACTGCACCATGAGGATGCAATTAGAAGGATCCAGACAGCAGGAGATGCTACAGGTCAAACAGCCCCCATCCCCAGCAGATACGCTGTTAAGGGAAAAAATACTTTTAAAAAGCATGGAGATGAAACATAGATGAAAAGAATTGAAACACATATTAAAAATTTTAACTACACAAAAGTTAACTGTAGTGTCCAGGGATACATACTTGAGTGCTATCAAGAAACACGAGGAAGTGATTATTGTAAAAGTCAGGCTAACTGAACCCCAACCCTTGCGGGGGGAAGGGCGGGGGCTGGGATTGTGACAGGCTCACGGCGGGGCTTCTGGAATAGTTGCAGAGTTCTATTTGGGTGTTATTTGTTTTTAAGCGTTTATTAAGGTGCACATTTGTTTTGTGTTTCTTCCTGTATACGGCCCCCTTAGGGGGCATTTTGGAAACATGAAAAAGTTCCAGAAACGGATAGGGGTGATGGTTGTACAACAATGTGAATGTACTTAATGCCACTGCAGTGTGCACTTAAAAATGGTCAAAATGGTAAATTTGATGCCATATATATTTTATCATAATAAAAAAGAGGGGATAGCGTTACCCAGACAACTATTCAGAGCCCTCTTAGACCGAAGCTGTTGTTTTGTTCTGAGTTCACGGGAACATTTTATTCTCCGTTTTTGTTTTTTCCCTTCTTAATAGTCACGGGCCCCATCTTCCGCACGAGGATCACCTACGGAGTTTGCTAATGCAGGTTTCTGGGCCCTTCTCAACACAGATGCGGTCAGCCCATAGGTCACCCTTTGAGAAAGACCCTTGCAGACCCTCTGGTCCGCTGCAGGCAATTGGCCAAGTCACGTGAGCCAATGCCTAGGCCTACTTTCCTTCCTAGGAAGCTGTCCTCACACTTAGGGTGACAGCGTGGAATTGCTTCGTGCAGAAGCACGTGACTTGGGCTCTGTCCTTCCATAACTGCTCTGAAGGTCCATTCATTCCTGCGTTCGTTCATTCAACAAGCCTCAGCACCTACTTCGCGCGGGGCCTGTGGCTTGGCTGCCCGCAGCCAATCGGAGTGCGCAGGCCAGGGTCCCACCTCCCCCTCCTGAAGTCCCCGTGGGAGCCAGAACAGCCGCCTGTGTCCTGCCCGAAGACAGGAGCTCCAGAGCACTCCCGTTTCCCATTCGGTGCGACACATTCCTTCCAAACACCGGACGGCTGGCCTGGCAGGCTCCTCGGGCCGGCCTCCCTGCCCTCCTGTTCCCAGGGTCTCTCTTGCCCTCCAGGCTGCTGTCACCTGAGGACAAGTCAGGCTAACAGCCCCAGTCAGCTGGCCGGGACCGGACTCCGCAGAGGTCCTGCCAGCCCTGCAGCTCCCACACTGGGCCCTGGGAGACCTGGTCTCGCCTTTGCCCCACCCCCAGAGCTCTCCTCCCAGGGACGACCCTTCTTGTCCCTCCTCCCCTGGGGGTGTGCCTCCTCTCTGTGCCCCCAACCAGGCATCCCTGGATTTCTGACACCCCTGGGACCTGGGAGGGGGCCACAATGTTCCCCCTTAGAATGTGAGAGCCAGACAAGAGCCTGTTACTGTGAAATGAAAGCATTTCACCATCTGCCCGTCAGGGTCTTTGCCAGCTGATCGATGCTAAGTGAGCACTTACTGTGTACACTTTGGGAATACAAAGACTAAGGTGGCTTGGCTTTGAGAAGTGAAGAATGCACGTTAGCGGAGCCAGCCAGCTAATAATTCCAGCAGGGATACGGGGGCCAAACCAGTAGCTGTGACCTCGGAGAGGCAGCCTGTCTACTGGGTTCTGGGCCGGACTCCTAAGGCCTGTGGCCTGGGTCCAGATCTTCACTCTGCGTCCGACCAGCCGTGCGGCTGGGGCAGGTCACTTAGCCTGTCCTGCCGCAGTTTCCTGATCCAAGTAACAGGAAAGACATCAAGTGGCTTGGTGCACTGTTGCATTACGTCGACTAACGCAGATAAAGGATTTAGAACGTGGTGGTCCTAGGGCCTCACAGAGTGGGTGTTGGCTGTCATCATATCGTCATCGTCACTGGCATCACTGTTGGCACTGTCACCACCCTCAGGATCTGGAGGCAAGGGGAGCATCAGTGGGCTGGGGATCTTTCACAGAGGTGGGTCTTGAGTTAGAGCTCAAAGCAGAGGGACCTGGCTGCGTGCCTACACCATTAACACTTACATGGCCCTTCCTCTGTTCTTTACACACATTACAGAGGGTTTACTAAGAAAGAGTGGGAATTGGGTGCCAGTCAAACAAAAAGTTGTGCATGGAAATACAGAAAAGGGTTCAGGGATGTTTACGAGCCCATAGAGTATAGACGGAGTTAAGGATTGGCATTCCAGTAGAAGCGCCTGCCAGTTTTTCTCGTGCCGGCTTTCTAGAAGGAGTGACATGATGGGACGCCCCTTCTCACCCCCAGCCTCGCTCTTCTACCCCTGCCCCCTGCCCCCACTTCCACAGGCTCTCAGTGGACTGACTGTTCAGGCCTTAACCACTCTGGAGAGCTATTATGATCTATCAGGTGAAGAAAATCATTCACCTTTCAAAGTGGTGTGTGTGATTTTCACCATTGACTGTAACAGCAACAGAGAATCATTTCAGCTGGCTGAGTGCATAGTCTGTGTGTGCTAAACTTCTCTAAGTGTGGATTTACACAATGAAGCAATTAGCCCCCTGGGACCCGCTCAGTGCCGTGGAGTACATAGTGTGTGTTTCATAGACGGGCTAAGCAGGTGCCAGAACCATTGCTCAGGACTCACCGTCGGTCTGGAGACCAGTGAACACTCAGAGACTGTCTTCCCAAAGCTTCCATGGTGAGGCGGGGGCCCCAGCGATCACATACCCAGCCAGCAAACAGGCGTGATGTTCTGCTCATCTGCCACCAGCCACTGAAAGAAAAAGCAGAGGCGGGACCTCCCTGGCGGTTGAGTGGTTAACACTCCACGCTCCCAACGCAGGGGGCCCGGGTTCGATCCCTGGTTGGGGAACTAGATCCCGCATGCCACAAAGGAGGTCCCCCATGCCACAACTAAGACCCAGCGCAGCCAAATAAGTAAATAAATAAATTAAAATATTTAAAAAATGAAAAAGCAGAGGAGCTGCCCAAGGAGGCATGTGCTCCCTTGCTTCTTCCCGCTTCCCACATTCACAGACTGTGCCCGTGAGTCCAGAGCAATCGTCAGACCGCATACGAGAAAGCATCCGGGCTCCACGGCTGTGGTCATGGACACAGGATTGTGGTCTTGAATAAGAGCATTGCGGTCGCGACGGCTGCGTTGTCTGAAAGTGTTTCAGGACCCGCCTGGCTCCTTGCCCCAGTCTCTCCTTTCCCCACCAAAGAGTCTCCTGGGTCCTCCGTGGAGAGCTCAACCTGGCCCCAGGGGCTGGTCACCCTGTCCCGAGACGGGACACTTCAAGGAGCCCCAGGCTGGGCTCCACTCAAGATCCTCGAGACAGAGACCTGAGGAACTTACAATTCTGAGAGAAAAAAGCAGATACCAAGTTACACATACAGCAGGGATGAAACTCACCCGGGTATAAAGAAAGAAATATGCCCCCCTGTCAGCCAGGGTGACCTCTCAGAGTGAGTCGCTTCCTAATTCTTTGCATTTTCTAAAATTTTCTTCGATGAACAAGCGAGAAATAAGGAGTTCCCTCCTGCGATTGACACTTGTTCTTTCTTCCCTCTCAGATTCCCCCCCCCCCCCCCCCCCCGCCTATGTTACTGTCCCCCACCCCGCCCAGCCCTGCCACCCACTCCATGCAATTCCACTTGGATGTCCCTGCTTCTCCGTCACAGGGGCTCATGAGGCAGCCTGGCCAGAGACAGATGTGGTCCCTGGTGGGGCAGGAGGGCCTGTCAGCTGGGCAGAGCTGGACGCTGGGAGAAAGAGAATTTCTCCTTTTGGGGGACTCAAGCGCCGAGGATCACGTAAGCCTGAAGCTGCCAATTGTGCGGCCACATGGAGAAAGGCTGCTTCAGAATGAAGCCAGCGAGTGAGAAAACAGAGCTGAGGGACAGAGACCGAGTCTCGGGGATGTCACTTGAGCCCCGAGGTCAGCATGACCAAAGCCAGCCTTGCAAGTTCTTTTTACTGAACCAATAACTTTCCTTCCGGCCTGCGCAAGCCTGGGGGGAGTTTCTACCCCCTTGCCATGGGAAGATTCCTGACAGCACTGCCTTACAGGGCTGTGGTGCGGTGACGCTGCTTAGAAACACGAGGCGCACCCGCCGGGGTGGCCGACAGGTGTCCCGGGTGCCAAAGGCCGTCCACAGATGGGTTTGGTTGGCCCACGTGGGATTAAAAATTTGAGTCAACCCTTTAGAATCTGGATTTTATCTATAACTCTAGATTTTCTGTGTCTCTGAAAGAAATAACAAGACCTGGGAACACTGGGCTTATGTCCTACATGGCAACATTTACCTGGAGCTGCAAAGGGGCTGCCCTTTTGGTTGGGGCATTCATTCTCTAACGGCTCCCACGTCTGCTTATTTTCTCCCCAACACTGTGGCTGGATGTCAGTTAGCATTTGTAATTGGCCTGCAGGACTGACGGCCCCCAATGAATCCCCGCTCCTGGGCTCTGTGCCCCTGCGTGGCCCCGCCCATGCTTACGCCTGCCAGGCCATGTGACTTGCTTTAGCCAATGAGACACCAGCGTGTAACAAAAGCAGAGGTTTGATAAGCCTTGGCGTTGGGGTTGATCCTCCTTGAAGATGGGGCTGGAATGAGACACCACATGGGGAGAGAGACCAGAGAGCCAGGAAGTGCTTATAGGATGAGGGAGACGCATCAACAAATACGGAATCTACTTCTGAAAAGGCTGCCATTGGCCAAATCTAGGATGATTTGAGCATAAAAATAAATAATGGTACCAATAATTAAAATCCATTGACTCTAATAGGAAAGCGTAAATCCATAGAGATATAAATAAGTAAAATGAATACATCAAGAGTTAATGATGAATGGAGATCCTTGCAGAGTTTCAAAGAACCTCCCCACAAAAATGGCAGAAAACCAGGGAAAGGAATAACTCTTATTATAAAAGAGAAGCCTGGCAGGCACCACCTGCCTCACACGGTCAAGGCAACATCACGGACGGGGCCAACTGAAATCACGAGCCACCCGTGGATGCGGTGAGAAAAATAAGGCAGCGTTTCTGTGACTATTTTACCAAATTGTCTAGCTGCTTGAGTAGGAGGGAGGGCAAACAAAGAGAATTACAGGGGAAGAAAAAAGAAATCACGTAGTAGTTCGAAAGTACTATCCTCCCAAGAGAACTGGAAACGGGTCCACACAGAACCCTGTACGTGAATGTTCATCACAGCATAATATTCACGATCGCCCCAAAGCGGAAACAACCCAAAAGTCCAGATGCAGTAGGTGTACCCAGACATTCCTCAATACGAAGGAATGAAGTACTGACATTTGCTACAACGTGGATGAACCTCAAAAACAATACGCTCGGCGAAGGTCTTGCCTGGGTCACTGTCATAACCTCCTGACCTCATGGCGGCTTCCTGTCTCACCTCACAACCCGCCGTTTCCCACATAGCAGCGAGCAAGCTTCTAAAAACATGAGTCATACTGTGTCATTTTCCTCCCTTCAGTTCTCCAGGAGCTCTCCAGATAATTACTAGGATAAAATTCAAGCCCCTCCCCATGGCCCACCAGGAGGCCAAGCGACCAGGCTCCTCCCCAGCTTCCAACTGCTCCTTTCCCCCCTCCCTGGCTCAGCAGGTGGCAGCCACACAGCCTCCTTTCTTCTCACCAAACACGCCAAGCCCTTTCCCACCTCAGGGCCTTTGCACTTGCTGTGAGAAGCACTCTAACTTGCCCACCCCACCTCTCCACCCCCTCACAAGCCACCTCTGCTGTTGTTCCGAGATACCACCCCATCTCCTTCCTTCATAGCAGCTGGTCATCTGCAGTTGTTACATCTATTCATGTATTTGCTGCATCTTTCCCAACCAGAGACAACATCTCCATGAGTTCAGGGACCTGCTCTGTCCTGTCTCCACCATGTCACCAAGGCTCAATGCAGTACCTGGTATACAGTCATACAGAGCTCAATAAATATTTGTCCAGTGAATGAAGTAACCAAGAGCTGATCATGTCTTATAACCTTTATAGCACTTATTACAGTGTGTTCATTTATTTATTTACTTGTTTATTTATTTACTTGTTGACTGTGGCTCTGCCCTGCCTAGAATATAAACTCCATGCAGGCAGGGACCCTCTATGTCTCAGTTCCCACCACACTCACGGCACCCAGAGCAGTGCCAAGCACAGAGCAGACCATTAATGAACAGTTGCTGAACATTGGGTGACTGTTGATGAAATCTTATCATTTCATCAAATTCCTGAAAAAAAATATATATCTTTTTACGTAGGCTCCTGAGACAGCATCTCGGAGTTACTCTGCTGGGTAGCACGGAAGCTAGGCTTCACCTGAGCCCCATCAACAACAGCTGAGGGCTGCTTCTGGGGCATTAACTCTGCTGCACTTCCCGCTTGGCTTGTCCAATGCCCAGGCCCAGTACAGTCTAAGAGCCAGGGGGAAAAGGCCTCAGGACTTGAGTCTCTGGGGCCCGTGGTCAGCAGCTCTCAGTGCGTAGAGACGAGGACTGAGGGAAAGGCAGGAAGCCAGCAGCAACAAACTCAGCCTAATTCTATTTAGTGATAATTAGAACAAAAATATGAGAAATCCGGGCTTCCCTGGTGGCGCAGTGGTTGAGAGTCTGCTTGCCGATGCAGGGGATGCAGGTTCGTGTCCCGGTCCGGGAGGATCCCACATGCCACGGAGAGGCTGGACCTGTGAGCCATGGCCACTGAGCCTGCGCATCCGGAGCCTGTGCTCCGCAACGGGAGAGGCCGCAACAGTGAGAGGCCCGCGTACCAAAAAAAAAAAAAAAAAAAAAGAGAGAAATCTGATCTACTTAGGTTCCACCCTGTTAAATGTGGCCACTTGCATGATGGGAAGTCCAAAGATACTGATGCGGTGGGGTCTTGGTACAGAAGCTGGCTGACCATGTACCAAAGATGGCGCTCCAAGTTTCTGCTGGTACATGAGCTGTTTCTACCACCTTAATCCCTTCCTTTCGGGTTGAAAGAGTCCATGCCCTGAATCAGGAGCTGGAAAGTGCATACCAAGCCTATACCCTACAATAGTCTGCCCTATTTTATCCCTCGTGCCAATGTGCAGTTAGCATGTGGGGAAGAAAATGGGCCAGGCCTTGATACACCTCATTTCAAAGACTGCCAGCCACTCTAACAGAATCTAATCCTCCTCTTAGCTCTTACACATACAAACCCCAAGGTGCTCGAGTTGTGATGTAACTTGCTTCCTTCAAAAGTGATTAGAGCAAACTTACTCACTAGGGAAAGGCAACAAAGGAGGAGAGGAGATAGTCTAAATATCTTGGGCACATCCCTTGAGAGGTAATTAGTGTATCTTGGTAATCATTCATTTTTAGCTCGGTCATAATTTTCAGCAGCAGGTTAAGCTGCTGAAAATGAACTGACAGCTACTAATTAGCACATAGATTCAGCAAGTAATGATAAGAAATAGGAAAAAAAAATGGGTTTGGGGAATGGAAAGCATAAATCATTCTATACATCGATTCCCACCATAATTGTAACAGTCTGGCTATTGAGCTTAAGGACCAATGGCCTAGTTGCTGCACTGAGAGCCTGGCATGCTGCTACCACTGGAGACAGGGCAGTACATCCTCTTCTGGGTGAAGCCTTCCCACATGAGCTCAGCCCAGAGTCACTTTCCTGTTCTCTGAATTCTGAGACCTGCCATTGATGAGTTCATCTCGTCCCATCCCGGGATACAGCTTTTGCTCATGCCTTCTATCATTGCTAAATTCAGACTGTCGTTTA